AGGCCGCGGCGAGGCGCGGGGGGCGGCGGGCGGGCGCCAGGCCGAGCCGAGCGGAGCCCCCACCCCGGCCGGTGGCCGCCGCCGCCGAGCCGCGCGCCCCCCTCCGCCCGCCCTCCGCGCCCGGACGAGGACCCGACGCCGGGGCCGCGGACAAAAGCGAACCGGGGTCCGAGCTGCACCCCCGCGCGCTCCCACGCACACACGGGAGCCCCGCGGCCGCCGGAACGCACCCCCGCAGCCATCCTCACAAACTTCTCCAGAGAAGAGCAATACACAGAAACGCCCCCTCCCCGCACCGCCGCCCAGCCCCTCCGGCATCCTCTGCCCTCTCCTCAAAAACAAAAAGAAAAACAACACAAAAACTAGCCACCGCCTGGAAAAGGACTGTCAGAACTTTGGGACGAGAACAGACGAGACCTATAAAAACGGACCCTGTGTGGATTATATTATATATAAAATGCTCCAAGTCCTGCTTGATGTCCACTCACAATGAGACTTTTTTTTTTTCCTAAAAAAGGAAGCATCAAAAAAGGCTTAAGGTGAGATATTCAACTGGAAGTCTAGCGACAGTTTCTCTGTATTTCATAACATCTGTATAAATAGGGTTCAAAGGATTGTGTTCTCTTTTATTTTCTTGTAAATGTTCATTCGAATAGGTTTTTTTTTTTTGTGAATTCCTGAAATTCAGGGAGTTTCTTTTTAATTTTCTGATGCACTTTGTGAAAGTCAGTATATATGTAAAAGATATTTAAAATGTTGAGTTACCGTTTTCACTCAAACACGTAAGTTAAGGTCACCTAAAGAAATTAAATGCGTTTATCTGTATGAAGAAAATCTTGACATCATATTTTCATTTTGGTGTTATTAAAGGACTGAACAGCACCCCTCCGTTAAAAAAAAAAAAATCCTGTTTTCCCTTCAATAATCTTTAATGTGGGATCAACTTTTTTTTTTTTTTTGGTTGTTGGGAAACAAATTCCCTTCATGTTAGTTGTAGGCAATGAAGTTTATATGGGTTGCAAAGCCATAACACATATACGTTTTTGAAAAGTCAAAATTATTTATTTGTATATCAACATCATAAATTAAATTGGGTTCTAAGAACGTGTAGCTGTATTACTTTAATGGGAGGGCTCGAAAAAGGTGATGTTTTAAATCTTTCTATCGCCTTTAAGAAAAAAAAAAAAGCAAGTTCTTTTGGCAGTTTTAACTGGGGTGGTACTTAAATTTCCCGGAGGGCTCAGAGAAAATCGGTGGGCTTGTTTTTAAAATCTGATTTTAAAACAATATGTTAAAGAAACATCTCTCTAGGAAAAAAAAAAAAAATGTCTTTTCGTTTCCGAGGCCCTTTAGTTGGGAGGCATCTCTGGGGAATAAATCGCCAGAGTCAGTACCCCGGAAAAGACATTTCATGCCTAAATGAAAATCTTGTTAAATGTTATTAATTTTGACTTAGAGCACACAGCAGCCCCCTGTGCCTTGTACTCCCTTATTAGGGATTCATGTCTTATCAAATATCTAATTAATCTCCTAGACATCATTTGTTCTGGCCAACTTTATCTCAGCTGGTCCACGGGGAAAACTCCAAATATTCTCTGTGACAAAGCTCCCTTGAAGATCTTTTTAATTGTCTAAATTAACTGCACCAAATTTGCATGTCAAACGGTAAAGGGCAACCTGAGATAAAATGTAAACGTTTTAAAAGCCCCAAACTAAGCACTTGATTTGATAACTAGGCTTTTTAATGTTATGGGAGACAACTGCTCCTTTCCTTTTCAAAGACGGCTGATCTATGCAAATAGTGAATTGGAAATGCCTAGGTCCCCTCGCCGGCAAATGGCCCTCGCAGGTTATTTGAATATCAGTGGCTGCCTCTGAAAAGGTTCAAGGATGCTCTCTGCCTTCTTTGTGATTACTCAGTGCGGCGTCTTATTCTGAAGAAAAAAAACTCAGGAATAATTAAAGGCTGGGATCAGGCCTGGGAACACATTTGGGACAGGAATCTCATTTAGACAGTCTCTTTCAAAATAAGGCACAGTTAAATTGACCAGAAGGCAATTATTGAAATGAAAATTATTTTCACTCTCTTTGTCTTCTGACCACCAACTTAACAGCCCCGGTTTAAAAGAGGGAGAAGGGAGAGAATGACGAAAGGAAAATTGGTAAATGAGACAATTTCGCAATTCGAAAAAAAAAATGTTAGTTTGGAAAAAAAAAGTACATATTTACAGAATAAAAATATTTCTAAAAGGCTTCTCACACAATAGAAACTACAAGCGAAGTCAGCATCAATAAATTTGCCCCTCTTTTTTTTTTTTATTACTGGACTTGGAAACTTGAATAAAGATTTTGATCCTTTGGAAAGAATAAATTATTGGTATTAACAGTCAACAAAAACTGCTCTGAAAGGCCATGGAGCGAAGTAGCGAGGAAAACAGCGGGAAGGTTCCCAGCGGGGTGTCTGCACGCGGAGGTTCAGGCTTCTTCCTTGAGGTCCTGTGGTCCCAGCTGCAAAGCTCGTCTTCCTGTAGTTTTCCCTTTCTTCGCTGGTTTTCTCTCCAGGCTCATCCACGCCTGCCTGGGACCTCCCCCCACCCCCACCCCACCCCAAGGCCTTTTCGGGTTTGGGTCTGGTCCTGGGGAGAAGCTGGCGGGGCACGCATGTAGGGTCTGTAGGCCCGCGGGGTGCCCTGCGCGTCTCGGGGCGGCGGGCCGGCAGCGCGGAGGTGAGCGTGCGCTGGGGGTTCCCGAGGCAGCAGGGCGCCGGGCCGTCGGTCCCGGGCAGCTTTGTTTCTCCTTGATAATAAAGGCAGATCAAAGGGCCTGGCCGCGCAGGTCTCGCTCCGGGAGGGGCGCCCTCCGCAGGCCAGTGATCAAGGCCTGTGCGCGCTGCCCCTGCCCCACGGGTCAGCCGACGTCCATCACCGCGGCTCCGAGAACCGCGGGCGGCAGCCCAGGCCCCGGCGCCTGGCCACGCAGCGCGCGCCCGGGAGCCGACCCAGGGAGGGCCCGGCCCCGGCCGGAGCCCCGCCGCGCGAACCGCGCCCGCCCCGCGGCCCCCCCCCCCCCGCGCCGCCCCCCGCCGGGGCCCCCCCGCCCCCCCCCCCCCCCCCCCCCCCCGGCGCCACGCGTCCCCGGGGCGCAGAGAGCCTTGACCCCGGCGGGTGGCGACCGGCGGGCGGATCGAGGCGAGCGTGCACCGCAGGCGAGGCCCCTCGGCCGGGGCTCCCCGGGGCCGCCTCCGCCCTCCCGCGGCTCGCGCCTAACGGGGTCGAGCCGGTGGGGCGCCGCAGCTGGGGTCCCGGCTGGGGAGGAAGGCGGCGGCCTGGAGGCGGATTTGTGGAGTCGGGGCTGGGAGCTGGGGCCGGCCCCCGCCGGGGCGAGGGGAAAGGCCGCTCGCTGCAGCCAGCTCCCAGGGATTTCTGCTCTCCAGCTCCCGCGCGCCAGAGGAGCCGAGAGCGCCTTGGCTGGGCCTGGGCCTCCCTGGCCCCAATCCACACCCTCCCCGGGGCTTTCCTGCTGCATTCACCCCCACCTCTTGGAGTAAGCGGGGTCCTACCTGATGAGGAAAAGGGAGTCAGAATTTTTTTTTTTTTCCTTTCCTCAAGGACGTTTGGAAACATTTGGACAAGATTAGATTGTGCACCTGAACCGCGCGTGTCTGGACATTCCGTCAAATCGTCACCAGTCGTGTGAAATTGAATTTCTTTTTATTCACATGGAAACTTTATTTATTTTAACTCTAATCTTATTTGCATCTATTATCTGTATTCAACCAAGGCTCTTTTCCCACTACAAAAATGCAGATGAAGTAAATCTCACATAAATCCCGCCCATTTGTGTAATTGGTATACTAAGTGTTTATTTTAAGTGAGAATAATTTAGCTACAAATTTTCTTAAGGAATAACATTCTTAACACATTAAAAAAAAAACTGAAAACTCTGATTTGCTTTTTATGTTTGACAGTAGCTCTTGATTCCCCCCACGAGGCGTGGGGCGAGCGCGGCTCTCGGGCGCCACCTAGAGCTTCTGCGTGGGAGGCCCGCGCCGCCGGCCTGGCGCGCTCGGCGACCGGCGCTCCGGGGAGACCCGCTGCGGTCGCCAACTCCGACAGCCCGGGAGCCCGGCGGACGGAAGCGAGGTCTCGCACTCCCGCTGGGGCCGCGGCCCGTTCGGAGGGGACCCCGCCTCGCGGCGGCGCCGGGGGACGGGGCTCGCGCCCGGAACCCGCTCACCGAGGGAGCCGAGCAAAGCGCACGACACCCTGCTCGGTCTTCGCCTTCCTCTGCATTGTCTCCCCCGGCGCTCTTCCCCTAGGCGGTTTCAGGGTGCTCCAGCCCTCGCCGGTTAAAGGAGCTGAGCGCCGGCGGCGGCGCTGGCGGCTCGGGCCCGGGATGGAGAGTCCCCGCGGTGGGCGCAGCTTGCCTCGCCCTGCGGGAGCCGGGGCCACGGGGACCCGCGTGGTCTAGCCAGGACGGGCGCGAACGCGGTTCACTGTCGCAGGTCCCCGGGGCCTCCTCCGCTCCCCAGACGCCCTCGTGCAGAAGGAGAAGGCGGAGTGCCACCGCCGCGGCCAGCCTGGGCCCGGCCGCCGCCGCCGCAGCCCTCGGCGGGGCCCGAGCGGGGCGCAGCGGGCACCTGGGCAGGCCGAGGCGGGGAGCCCCGGAGGGCGGCCCGGAGGCCCCGGAGCCCTCGTCCCGGGGCCTCCCCACGGGTGCGCACCCCTCCCACAACGGGCCCACCCCCTTTGTCCTCGCCCGTTCGAAAACCTAAATCTGAAATGAGATAACAGTCGGGGGCGTTGGCCAATTTTCTCTTCTCTGTGCATCGCCCTGCCTCCCGCCGCCCCCTGCCCCCTTCCCCGCTCTCCCCATTCCCCGGCCCCTCCCCCAGCCGCCAGCCCTAGACGGCTGGTGGCGACTTTCTCCCCTCCCCCCCCGCCCCCGGCAGTTATTGTATTTTAATTTAAAAAGCGACACCTTCCAACCCCGTGGAGGTGGAGGAGGGAAGAAACGCAGTCTCCCGAAGCTGTGAGAACGGAGCTGAGGCTCCGGGGTGCCGGGCTCCCCAAACTCAAACCGGGGGAAAAAAAAACGGCAGCGCGCTTCTGGGAACTCCACAGCCACCTTGGTAGCGGGTACTCGGCTGGGTCTGTATTTGCTGTTTTAATACAAACCCCGCCGCACTGCCTATTTCAAAGATGTGCTAATTACTACTTGGATAGCAGGGCGCAAAGTCCTTGTCCATTTCCCAGTACAAAGTAGGTTGCTAGAAAATTTGAAATTGCCTTTCAGCCTAAAGCTGCCTTACCTGAATGTCATAATTACAGTAATTATGTACATCCAAATTACATGCTAATTAAATTAGAATCAAATCGTTCTAAATCGAAATCAAATGAGGTAGTGAAGAATTAATCAATGACAACATAAATAGAGCGCTTCCTTCAGAGATATTTATTGTAACGATCCAAGGAGGAATTTGATCTGAAAAAGTCACCTGTTTATTTACTTTCAAATTAGTAATCAGTTATTATCCCTTCTCCATAATTTTAACCGTTCGGTGCTATTTACCCCCCACCCATTTGCAGACGCTGGAGCTGACGGAAGTACGTGTGAGGTAAATACATACAGACTTGCCTCCCCATATATTATTGGCGTAACTGTGTACGGGTGTTTGGAATTCGAGTCAAGGTTTCCAAGTGTCCGCGGGGACACATTTCCCCAGAGCCGGGCGGCGGGGCTCCGGAAGAGCTGTGTGTGTTCCCCGAGGGTAGCTCGCTGCTTCTTTGGCAGTTCGCTGGGACTTTTGCCTTGCTTCGCGGGCGTCCTGCCCCTGGGGTGGGGGGGATTCACCGCTGAAGGAAGTGCGGCGCCGGGGGCGACTCCGTCTTTCTCTCTGCGGGTCCCCCGCGGGGCTGCTGTTCTCTCCCTTCGCGCCAGGGACGACGGCTGAGCCTTGACCTCCCAAAGCGCGTCACCTGTGGCGCCCCAGCGAGGAGGGGAAACAAACCAAACCATTCCCTCGCCTCCCGAGGCCCGGGGAGAGGGCCCTGCGCCCCGGCCCGCGGGGGCAGCAGGGAGGCGGGCGGGAGGTCAGCCAGGCCACCCGACCCTTGTCTGAAGCCTGTGGGCGGGAAGTCGGTGGCTGCGAGCCCCAGCTCCTCTCCGTGGCCGCCAGGTGAGGGCCCGGGGAGGCCTCGGGCTTCAGGGGCGCAGGGGCACCCGCGGATGGACCGGCGACACCCACCGGGACCCAGCCTCTCGCGGGACCCCCGCTCCTGCCTCCTCCCCGGCCCCCGGCCTCCCTCGCTGCGGCGGGCGCGGGGACCTGATCGGTCCCGAAGGCCTCGGCACCGGGAAGCCGGTTCTCCAAGTCTTCAGTCGCGGGCAGGAGCCTCGTGGGCAGCTCGGCCGGACGCTTCTACCGCAATCGGAACCCCGCGCCCCTCTACAGTGTTGGGCACCCGGCGGGACCCCGGGGCGCTAAGTGTGAGGCGACCTGAACGAAGGGCGAGGGGAAGGTGGGAGGAATTATCGCTTCGTGTTCTGCCGCAGGTACTGGGTAGGAGGAAAAGGCTCAGGCCTCGGCGTTTTCTCACCTTGACCAGCACTTGTCTGCCCGCTGCCAAGGCGGCCGTGGCAGGCCGGCTAACGCTCGTCAAGAAGTGGGAACTGGAGCAAAAGTGATCTTGTCAGAAAAGTTAGAGAAGAGATATATTATCCTGCCCCTTGGAGGACGCGGCCTTCCTGAGGCCTCCACCAGCGTCTTGGCCATTAGGGCGGAAGCATGCAATAGAGGCCCTGCGGATCTAAATTCCATGGCTGAACTGAAAAAGCCGCCTGCTCCGGCAGGACCGGCCCTCGGCCAGCGGCCTCACGGAAGCCTCTGGAAGAAAGGGCCCTCCACAACCTTTCAGAGGAAAACGTTCTCCGGGTCACACCGCAGGGTGCGCATCCCCGCCGCTACGGCGCAGCCACTTCTGCCCATCCGGGCAGTTATTGGGAGGAATGAGGACTAATTTACTATGTACACATCCAGATAAACAAACCCCAACCTAACAACCCGCTTCCCCCTGACCATTTGTAAATCGACAGTGCCTCCTACAGGAACCAGCACGCCAGTGTGGCGTTAAACGAGGCTAGGGGAAAGAACCGAAGAAGGGGTGTCCCCAGCATTTGTCCTATGTCTCCCCCTCCACACATGCCCGTGTTGGGGGAAAATATAAAAAAGCTGGACGTGTATTCAGATTTATGTAAAAGGATAAGGAGAACGGCAGCGTCACGCGTGGATTTGGGGGGTTCGGTGTGGATTCACTGAACTTGGAGGATTGCTGCTTGGCTACTTACTAGAAACCCAGTATTCTGAAGATGGTTTCCAGCCCCAGCCCCCAGGAGCACTTGCAGACAGTCAGCCTCCCCTTCCACCTCTAAGTTGGCACGCTGGCCCACTGCAGTCGCCTGGCCTCGGCGAGCGCGGTCAAGGTCAAAAGCCGAACTGCAGACTCACATCACCTGTGACCACCGGGAAATTTCTCACAACCGGGCAATAATTAGAGCCTTAAAAATTATTTCCTTATGGTTTAATATTCTCAACAGGATTAAATCAGATTAGAAAAAAAAATGAGCCGTAGGGGCTACCTCATAAAGTCAAGGGTGGGGTGTCACATTTTGGTGAAAGTCAAAGTATAAGAAACTATTTCTTTAATTCATTCTTAATTATAGGATGAATTTCAACATTTTTCTTCATGAACACTATACTGGTTTGGAACCCTCTTTTAAGGCAGTAAGTATTGCATAGGTTTTGACATTACAAAAATTATAAAGTCTAAAAAGGTGTTCGGCAGAAAATAATCACAGCGACACTGATGAACTCCGGTGTAAATTAGCCCTTATCAATTTCAAATGCTTTTTTTAAGTGAAGGAGTAGGATCTCTGAGGTGTGCTGAGGTGCTACAGGATATGGTGAAGGAGTTCAGTTCCTCTCCAGTTTCCCTCATCTGCATAATCAAAGGGCTATTTACATCCTCCGCGCCCGTCCTAGGCGGCCTGCTCCTGTGAGCGCAGGCTATTGGACAAGGAGTGTTAGCTCCTTTCACACTGACTTTCCCAGAGAACTTGGAAATGGTGCCTGCCGTCAAAATCAGCATTTTTGTACTAAATAAGAGGCTTTAAAAATGAAACCCTGATTTTAAAAAATATGTTCACAGTAAGAGAAAATCTGTACTGCATATTATCTGCAGTTTGTACTGAAAAATTTTTCCAGTTTTCTTTCACCAAACCTTTGGAACACATGGCAAAAATCTATAGCTAATTTTTCTTTTTTTTTTTTTTAAATCTTTGAATCTTGGCTTGGTCCTTCACCTTTTGAAGAAAAACCTTTTAATGATATGTCAACAACAGAAAGGCTATAGTGGTAGGCAGAATAACCCCATCCCCCACCCCACCTGCCAGACACATACCTCTCTAACCCCTGGAACCTATGAATATGTTACATTATATGAAGAAGGAGAATTACAGGTGCAGATAAAACTAAGCTGATTTTAAACATGGACACTATTCTGAATCCGTCAGGTAAACCTACTCTACTCAAAATGGTCCTTACCAGATGGAAGGAGGATGCAGAGTGTCAAAGTGACTAGACTGAAAACTCCTCTGTTAGCCCTGAACTATAAAACGGGGGCCAGACCCAAGACTGGGCAATATGGATGTTTCAGAAGGAAGATAATTCCATTTATGCCTCCATCTTATCCTAGCGACAGCCATGTCAGAATTCTGAGTTTTAGAACTGTTAAGTTTAAATTAATTTTGTTTGCCAATATAGACAAATAACAGGACATTCTATTATAAATATCATATTCTGTAGAAAAAAATAGTTCTTAAAAAAGGCTTAAGGAAATGTTGACTGATATCCAGTGTTTTTTATTCACTCTAGTGAATTTCAACGATTCCATTTTGCTTAAAGCAAATTCAAATCTTAAAAAGTAACAATTCAGAATTGATAATCATTCACGGTTCTGTTATTGTTTTAATGGTGTTTCAAAACAACAACGAAATTACAGAATTACTTGCATATTTTAAACCTGGTACAGGACATAAAAAAAACAACAACCAACAGAAAAAAAAAAAAAAAAAGATTTCTATACCTCTAAATAGACTGCCTACAAATACCAGCAAAAATCAACCTTGTGACACTCAGGTGCTTTTACGCTTGAAACGACAGTTTACAGAGATGGACAATTAAGAGACTTTTTCTTTTTAATTAGATAATAATGTGCAAGTTAGCCCTTGCTAAAGATACTCAGTAAGAAACGGAGTCCTTTACTCCCAGGTAGCTGTTCCCCTGCTCTGCTGAGCCTTCGTCTCCTGGGTGCTCACCGCACGCGCTCTCTTCTATATTCATCATCCCCGTGGCCTCTGGTGTCCTTTCTTCTGTTCCGCTCTTCATCAGGACTCCGCTGTGGCCGGTTCCTCATCCCTCTCTGCTTATGGTAGCCAGGGCTCCTGCTCCGGCTTCTCCTACTGCTCTCAGCCCTGCTATGACTTTGGATTTCCTCGTTTCTGTCACACCATTGCTTCTCTGGACTGTGACGCTGGCTTCTGGATCTTCGGTCAGAACCAGAATGGACCCGTTTGCTATTCTCCCTAGAACTCTCTTGTTTCAGAAGACTTGGCTTTTCTTTGGCATTCCCCCTGTCACTGTGACTGCTGGGAAGTTCTCCATGAAGTATGTTCTTAGACTTGTCCTCTGTAGAGTCACTGGATTTACCTCCTGAACATTTTGTCTTCTTCTTTTTCTTTCTCTTCTCCTTTTCTCTTTTTTTTTCTTTGTTGTCACTCTCACTGCTGCTATCTGAAGTCTCAGAAGAGGAGGAGGAAGAAGAGGAGGAGGAAGAAGAAGAGGAAGGGGATTTGTTTTTATGCTTTTTGTGTTTACTTCTGCTCTTCTGTAACTTTTTCTTTTTCTTATCACTTTTCTTTTTCTTTTTTTTCTTTTCAAGTCTATCCAATTTCCTATAGTCGAAAAGAAATAGTTCTTTCATCAACAAAATAAAAACTGTGAACAGACTACATCTTCTTAGTTGCTACCAAAAATAGTGTCCATATCTAAACACATTATTTAATGATAAATCATTCTTTTCCTTTTAAATTATTCAGGCATATAGTCATTGAGTAGAAATTTACATTAAGCCAACTTCCTGACTACACTTTAGTGGGAATGACTCCTTTCGATAAAACATTCCTATGGAGTCACAGCTTGAAATTGTTTAGCATTCTAAATAAAATGGTTCTCTTGATTTAAAGAAAACCTGGGAAAGATGTGTAGCATTAATTGGACCTATCCACAGTTGGATGACAGGCTAATCTTGTATATATGTTTTAAGTGTGGAAATACTAAATTACATTAATTATTGCCAGGCAGTGTGCTATATGCCTTTACTCCCAGCACTCAGGAGGCAAAGGAAGGAGTTCAAGGCCAGCTTGGTCTACAAACAGTCCAGGACAGTCAGGTCTTGAGAGAAACCCTGTCTTGAAAAACCAAAACCAAACCAAACCAAACCAAACCAACATTAATTATCAAAACTGATTATCTGTAACTTCTGAATTAGGATATATGTTGATATTTTATTATATACAATAATTACCTACTCGTTCTCAGCTACTGTTTAGTTCTAGAACAGAGCGGCTCCACTGCTTTCTGGATTTTTACTCTCAGGGCACAGACTGTTTAGCTGGGAGCTGAGCCACTGAGACAGCAGCCTCTTCACTGGGTTCTGCACACCGCTCACTTGCTAAAACATGGTCAGCGCCCTCTACTGGACTCCACAGATAATTCTTGAATTCTTTAGCCCAGCAAGGAGTACGTTTAACAAACTTAAGCGTTATTACAAAATAGAAAAAACAACTGTAAAATAAATATATTTTTGGGTTTTTTCAAGACAGGGTAGCATTGGCGGTCCTGGATTTGCTTTGTGGATGAGAAAAGCTATAAATAAGTCTACTTCCAAATTAAACACTGTGAAAGGTACAACAGCTTGGTAGAATAACTTGAGGACACAAACACTAATTTTCTTGTTATTGAAAAGACAAAATTGTATTCCTAAAGCTGGAGAACAAATCAATACATGCAGTGCACAGTTTACCATCAGCAAAAGCACCTTCCTAAGAGCGGAAGGCAGCGCCAGCCGCAACCCCGAGACACACCTGTCCACACAGACCCACCTGAGGAGCTTCTGCTTCTGCTTGGTTGTCAGCGACTTCAGGAACTCAACTTCAGGGTCTTCTTCACCATCACTTGCAACATAGTCCTGAGTCAACAAAGACACCCAATTGCTAGATTTTAGACTAGTTAGGTTATTAGCCAGGAAAGAAAACACTGTAACCGCGAGTTGTGTTAGCAGAGGTGGCGGGCTGGGCCCTGGCGGTTACCATACTGACACAGCTATGCTCTCCTGCTACGGCAGACCACAGGGTTATTGCACCTGCTTCTTGGAGATGATCAGGAAGCAGAGGACAAATGCAGACAGAAGCTTTACAGGACACTTCTGTTCTCTCTTTAGCACTTTAAACTCTGACTGGCTAATGCAGCATCTTCAGCTTAATGAAATGAAAACCAAGAGCTCCACAACAGAGCACTAACATGCACATGGCCCTGGGTGCGAACACAGAAATCTAAAGACCACGAAACTTAGATCCAAGCATCAGTAACTTTAAGCTTTATATTTGCAACTCAAACCAGGGCCAGTGAGATGGCTCAGTGTGTAAGGACACTTGCCACCAGGCTTGACAACCTGAATTTGAATCCCTGGAATCCACATCACGGAGGACTGACTCCTCCATTTGCACTGACACACACGCACGCACGCACGCACACTCCTCTTAGTGCAATGCCATTTCAGGGGTGTCAGCAGGAAGGGACAAACAATCCTATCACCACCTCAGTTATTCTAGCCACATAGATGCAAAGAAGCCATTTCATTTATTAAAATATAGGTTTATAAGCGGTTTCTCATTTAGGTTAAAGTAATAAAGAAGCAAAATCAAAAAACACTTAAAGCATTTTTTTTTTTGCTATATCTTACTTTCCTATGGATATATGCATATTGGAAACATTAAGTAGCAATTCACAAGCAATCACATTTAGATTTCCGGACATTTTCAGCTTACTGATAAAAAGATCATTACCTGTGATGGATCATTTGCGGTCAAGTTTCTCCCCAGCACATTTCGTTTCAGTGCAAACCCACTGTTTCTCATCTCCGCTATTAGCTCCGAGGGGTGCATCGACGGCCCTGTTCACAAAAATCACAGTTTGAATGTATCATTTATATCTCTCTACCTTTTTTGGACTCCACAGTAGGAATGCAGTTGAAGCTTTGTTAAGTAAAATCACAGCTAAATCAACTCAATAATCTTCTGCTGAGCAAATAATCAGATATGATTTTCTAAAACAGCAGTCTGGAGATTCAGAATGGAAAATAATTGCATTTTTCCTTACGTGCAAGAGGATGCTCGGCTTATGTAACTTCGTCACATTGAAATGTCTACTTTCAAGTTTTTAGAATAAAATAAAAAGAAAACAATGAAAAACTGCAGCGAAACTTTTAATGGTTAAATTTTAATGTATAAATCCTGTGTAGGCTACTGTGTGTTTGCTAGAACCACTACCACACACTCAGCCACTCAGTTATTAATTGCATTTACACATGTACTGGGAATTAGAACCTTCTAGCTACTGATAGGTGACAAACAGTTTTAGGATAGCTACAGGTATGTGTATCTTCTATTTTTCACAAACTGCTGTTTTTATTTTTGCAACAATATCCTGGTTGGAAACTGAACTGCTTTTTGGTCTGCTAATATGTACTAACATATGTAATAATATGTAATATTTTAAAAATCAAAGGTCTGCTGCCTTTCCTCAGACAGGGGACTTACTCGGGGTAGGAGAGGCTCTTCTCTCCCATCCACACAGTTTTGTCTCTTTGGGCTTTCCATGCAGGTCACACACTAGGTGACGACACATAGCCTCAGATGATGTATCTAATACAATGTGGGAGAGAGCTGCTGCCAGCCAAGATTTCATATCACAAGACTGGGGGGGGGGGGGGGTAGAGAGACATCCAGAAACAGATTTCTACTTTGTTGATCGAATAGTTTTATCTTTCTCTCCCTCTTTCAGGTCTTTTACCACTCATCTGAATGTTCAGCAACATGCTACTCTGAAAAGCAAAAGCTACGCAGTGGAGTCTCTTCACTTACGGGTAGCAGTCAGGCACACACTAACCCGCCCTGACCTTCCCGGGCCTCACTACTCCACTAAGATTACCAAGAACAACTAACCGCACACACGCCGCTCTCCATTTTAGGTATGAGGCACATGATGGTGGGGAAACTAAAACTAATCTCTACAGATTATTTTACTTAATTTGTTTGCTAACATTAATTAAACCTTAAGTAAAATTTGAATTTTAAATCTTAGTTGCCTCTAAATGGCATAAAAGTACTCATACAACTAATAGCTTTAAATAAGTAATAAAGTCCACTTTGGTGGTTTGTTTTTTAAGTTTCACCTATAGGAACATAATTTTATAAAGCGTAAATGGCCTTATTATTAAAATTATATTTCCTTGTCAACAACTTTAAGTGATGTCAGACAAATTCAGAAAACATGCATGCTGGGACTGCAGCTCAGGGCTAGAGCAATTGATCAGCCTGAACAGGATTTTGGGTTGAGTCCCCAGAAACACAAACACAGAGCCAAATAGGATAAGGTTAGGAGCCTGGCTCTTAGATAAAGAGGTCACTTTTGATGCTTTTATTATCTTCATCACAGGATGAGTAATTTTAATATTTTAGAAACAATGTTTTTACAGCACTTCTAACTACCTGAAAACGATCTTTCCCACATGACAGATAATAATATTGTAAAGCAAATCCCGCTGTTTAGGATGCCCTTCCACGCTACAGGACTGCACAGTGGTCGGTGACACACCCGACGACCGTCCTCATTATCAGTAGCATCCGTGCTACTTTCTTTAAAGAAGTTTCTCACATTGTCTGTAGGTGTGTGTGCAGGTGTGGAGTCAGGGACAACTGTGCGAGTTGGCGCTCGCCTTCCACCATGCAGGTGGAGTAGCATCTGGATGGCTCCTGTCATTTTTTGCACTGGGGACTCACACTTGTTAATCAACCACTCCGCCATTGTGCATATCTTGCCAGCCCAGAGTGAAGTGTTGTTCCCATATTTTTGCACTTAAATCTCTTACCATCAAAAGCTCAAAGTTCTTGGTTTAGAAGATGTGACAAGGCAGGTTTAATTAAGATATATTTAGCAAGACATTTTTATACTTTCCATGTCCCCGTGACAGAGGCTATGTAGAGTTATGCTGACAAAAGTAACTTTAGCTCTTTGAAACGTCAAAACACACACAATAAACATATATGCATGTATATGTATATATAACAAACATAGAAACCTATATGTTCGCATATATAGGGTTCCCTCCCTTGACCACTCTCTGGATAGGACCTCAACACTACAGCTCACGACACTGAACACATAGCAAAGGTGTGAGATATCATCCTGTCAAAACAGACACACTGATAAAATAAGACTGTACAATAACTATGTTCAAATACAAAATAAATAGCTCTTAATGTCTGGTAAATTATAGCTAGATATGGGGCACAGGAATACTTGGCTTTTTCTTAAATTCAGAATGCCAGAACTCACTAGAGAATTTTGAAGAAAGCTAACTGTTCTGTTTATTTGTTTTCAAGACAAGGTTTCAACCTCTGCCTCCTAAGAGTTTAGGATTAAAAGCAAGCACAACCACATGTCACAAGCAAGCCCAGGACTTTGGCATGCTGGGCAAGCCCTCTGCCAACTGAACTACACCTTCAGTTTAGGTATTTGCCTTAAAATGTGTGTCTGTGAGGGCTTCAGAGCATCTGAGCCAACTCGGTTTGGCCTCCACAGCAGGAAAAAAAACCAAAACCAAAAACAAAACAACAACAAAAACAACATACTGTCCACAACAGAAAAGTCGCTGAGCAACTGCTCTACACATTCATTTATTCTAAGACTTTCTTTACTGTCACATGGGCTGTGTCAAAATACTGATTATTACGGTGGTGTTTAGTTCATGTCCTGACTAGACAAACTGTTCTAGAAAAAAACATTCATGCAATCTTAGAGAAGAAAAGAAACCCCAGCGAGAGAAATATGCTGTACAAGAGTATATCTGCAAAGCTTAATCTGCTGTTTGAAAGTAGTTACTTTTTTAGAAGGAGACAAAGTCAAGGAGAGGTAAAGTGTTGTACAATAAAACAGGTATTTCATTAGACAGCCATACAGACTCAGAAGTTTTAAGCTGGAAATCCCAGCACACAGGTGCACACAGGAGTTCAAGGTCTCCTCTAGCCACACAGTTTGTAGCTAACCTGAGTAACCTAAGAAAGACCCTGTCTCAAAAAGCCAAGCATAAACAGCAATACAGAGTAGAGAGTTTCAGGAAGAAAGGCTGTGGCCTGAGGCAGCTGAACAGCAGTCCCCGACCGAGCCAAAGATCCGCCTGCACTTCACCACCAGCCCTGCCCCACTCGCTCTCCAATTCACAGCAGTTCAGCATTCTTCTCAAAGAAAGCTTCACCCCATCCCCAGCCATGAGACAGAAGGCAGCAAGTATCCCAAACATGGCTTTGAACTTGGAATCTACCCACTGCAGCCTCCTCAGTACTGGATCAAATGAATATTTCTATGATTTACGGCACTGAATGAAAGGAGGGTAGTGAGCTGTGGGTAGGCACACTGGTGTTAGAGAAGCCTTTCCTGGACCAGGGAGATAGCTTGGTCAGCGTAAGGGCCTGAGTTCAATCCCAGAACTCACGGGCAAGAAAAAGCTAGGTGTGGTGGCATGCATTTGGGGTTTTGTTTGTTTTGTTTTTGAGACAGAGTCTCACTATGTAGCCCTGGCTGTCCTGGAACTTGCTATGTAGACCAAGCCTGCCTCTGCCTTGAGTGCTAGGATTAAAAGTGTGCGACACAATGCCTGGCCCAGTAGTATCCATTTGCAATCCCAGCCCTGAGGAGACTGAGACAGGCAGGTAACTGGAGCTCACTGTCAGCCTTGCCTACTTGGCAAGTTCCAGGATAGGTAGAGGCACCTAAGGAATGACCTCCAAAATTGTTGTGTAGTATATAAACACACACACACACAGCAATAGGGTAAAGGAAGAAGACCTTCCTTCCTTCCCTCAGTTTAACACATTAATTGGGTCCAGAGCACCACCATTTACATGAAGCAGAATTTTGTGGGGGGAGCAGGGAGCAAGGCCTGAGACAGGACTTTATGTAGCTGGCCTTGAACTTGCTGTGTAGCTGACCTGGAACTCGTGTTCCTCTGGCTACTACCTCCCAAGTTATGGCATCATAAGCACCTGGATGTCCTTCTGATCTTGGCTAAGCTGACACTGCCTGTGCATGTCTAAGGAATCACTGTCCTGTCACTCCATACAAGGGCACACAGGGACATTAGTTACAGCATACTACTCAAAGATAGGGCTATCTGGTGGGAATTATCAAAAACTCTCATACTTACATCCAATTTCTTACCGGACCATAACAATTTTGCTTTTAAGAAAGCTTACAGAGGGACTGGAGAAATGGCTCAGCCGTTAAGAGTGCTTGGTGTTCTTAAAGACCATGTGGGTCCTAGGACCCACACAGAAGCTTATTATAGGCTTATAACACCAGAGTCAAGGAATCTATACCCTCTTCTGACCGCCATGAGGACGAGGCATGAACACGGTACACATACATACATGCAGGCATTCACACATAAATATTGAAAATAGTATCTAGAATGCTTATCAAAAGTTGTCTTTTAAAAAAGACTAAAATGAAAGCTGGGTAGGGTGGCACACACTTTTAACCCCAGCACGTGGGAGGCAGAAGCAGGCAGATCCCCAAGTTTGAGGCCAGCCTAGTCTACAGAATGAGTTCCAGGACAGCAAGATACACAGAAAAACCCTTTCTCAAAAACAAAAAACAAAACAAAACAAAACAAAAAAAAAAAACACCAAAAAAAAGGGGGGAAAAAAGACTAAAAAGGAAACAAAGTTTGAATAAAAACAAGGTATAATGACATACAAAAGTGCCAAAATGAACCCATTACTCTGTCTGCTAACTTAACTAACAACGACAAAGGAAAAGCAGGGGACACAGCAGGAACATGTAGCGTAAGTCCCGGGAAGCGGTGAACAAGGCTATTAATAAAGTGTGTGGGTT